GCCTGCTTCTCCCTCTCCCACTCCCCCTGCTTGTGTTCCCTCTCTCGCTGTGTCCTTCTGTGAAATAAATAAAATCTTTAAAAAAAAAAAAATCCAGTAATCCTGGTCACTTCTGAGGACAGAAAGTAAAGGAGGCCCTGAGGACCAAAGAGAGACGTCATTAAACATCTTTCTGTACTGTTTGACCATTCTGACTACCTCACACAAACACAGAAATTTTAAACGTTGCTATATGCACGGAGTATACCACACTCTTATTCTGAAAAGTAGATAGGCTTGTGGAACTACAGAAAGCCAACTTATAGACGGCATACAGATACAAATCACAAATCTGGTCAGTATGATTCAGAATAATGAGATTAGAGGGCTCTTTAGGAAATTAACATCTCCCAAGCGGACAGAGGTGGATTAAGAATGAAGCTGCTTTTAATCAGAGCTCCAAGGAGCTTCCTGTTTTGCAATGGTTTCTGACTCAAGTTGGAGATAGCATTTCCTTTTATATACGTGCTGATGGCCCTGAAGGGGAAGATTTGTCACATTTACCTCTATCTGCCCCCCTAAGGAGCTACTCTGCCATTTCCCATGCCTGAGGTCAGCTGAGCATGGGGGCAACTGTGAGATACTCCCAAAACCAAGACATAAGGATGCTCTGAGAGAGGTAGCTAGCAAACCAACAATTAATGAATCATAGCAAAGACATGAAAAAAAGTCACGTTAGAGAGACTGAATATCTCTTAGGCCCAGGCAAGACAGCACTCTGGAAAGGGAGCCAGCTGGTCAGCTCTGAAGAAAAGACAAACAAAGGTGTGTGAGCAAACTTCTGGCAGGGAGAAAAGAGGGGGATTTGGGCCCATAGACAATGAGTACTTCTGTCCACTGGCAAAGCTATGCCTACCTTCAGTGAGACCTCTAGCTACTCTTAGCCAAGTACATTTGCACAACTAATTTCTGATTCCTTCACAAGAAACCTACTTATCATTTGGCTTTCTATATAGTTGCTGCCTACAGGGATGGAACACACCAGTTACGCCAACAGAAAGCTTTCTAGAATGTTTTTTCACCGTGACAGTTCTTGTGGCAAAGTAAGGAACTGGCCCTTGAGAGATGAATGTGTGCTGAGGAAATGAGGGTTCTCAGCCTGTGAAAGTGAAGACCAGCCCCAGGATCACGGTTACGGTGGCACAAAAGTTCCAAGTGCAAATTTCACCGTCACAATTTTACTAAGCTCAAGTCCTATATACCCCTGAAGGAGCCACCCTGACCCAAGGATCCTTGATAATTCTTGTTTGGAAGCAGCCTCTGTTCTTTGAAGATACCAGGTGGAACATGTATGGTTAAATGCCATAAATTAGAATCATCATGGGAAAAACCCCAGTTCTCTTATTATATTAGATACCGTTCCAGTGAGAAGGCTGAGGAATTTTATTACACAAAGATTTTTATTATAATCAAATTTTTTAAATTAAAAAAATACTTTAGTACTTAATCTGAACCTTGTCCTTGGGGGCATATAAATAATAACTGAGAGGGGCGCCTGGGTGGCTCAGTCGATGGGCGTCTGCCTTCGGCTCAGGTCATGATCCCAGGGTCCTGGGATCGAGCCCCGCATCGGGCTCCCTGCTCCGCAGGAAGCCTGCTTCTCCCTCTCCCGCTCCCCCTGCTTGTGTTCCCCCTCTCGCTGTGTCTCTCTCTGTCAAATAAATAAATAAAATCTTTAAAATAATAATAATAATAATAACAACTGAGAAAAGAGACAGTGGGGGAAAAACAAAATCATTTTTAAAAATCTCTTTCAGGGGCGCCTGGGTGGCTCAGTCGGTGAAGCGTCTGCCTTCGGCTCAGGTCATGATCTCAGGGTCCTGGGATCAAGCCCCACACCAGACTCCCTGCTCGTAGGGAGCTTGCTTCTCCCTCTCCCTCTGCCGCTCCCCCTGCTTGTGCTTTCTCTCTCTCTCTCTCAAATAAATAAAATCTTTAAAAAAAAAAACTCTTTCAAAGTTTAAGGTAAACAATATTATATTGGCATGAAAAAAAGGAGAAACCCCAGTTGTCAATGATCACCAAGTCCAGCACATCTCTATCAGACAAGGAACTAAATCCCTCCCAGCAGATCTTGAAGAGATAAGGCTGATGGCTCCCACATGACTTTCGGCTGTGGTGACTCATTCCCCTGGTAGCTGCTGTAGGACACTCTGCTCCACCCCTTGGGGAATCTGGGCTTCTTTGAAAATTTATCAAAAACCAAGGCCAGAGTCCTGAACTGGTCCCTCCCCGCTCAGGACCAATGTTCATTTGGCTGGATCACACCTTTCCCAATTCCAGATTCCTTTCTCAGTAGAAAAAGAGAGTTGGACTCAGCTCCTGCCTCTCTGGATGCCTGGATGGAACAATAGCTAAATTTATTCACCTAGTGAGACTTGCTATCTCTGGGTGATAAAAGCGATCTAATCTGATGCCAAAGTACATAAATCAACATTCTTTTTAACAACAACAAGCCAAAAAACAAAAACAAAATCAAAACTTGATGCCAGATCCTCCTACTTGCCAGATTGGGAAACTAGCAGATATCGCTAAAACAATGGTGGAGGGCAGCCACTTAAAACTGACCTTGTGTTTTTATTTTTTATTTATTTATTTGACAGAGAGAGAGAGAGAGAGCACAAGTAGGCAGAGTGGCAGGCAGAAGGAGAGGGAGAAGCAGGCCCCCGGCTGAGCAGGGAGCCCGACGCCGGGCTCGATCCCAGGACCTGGGATCATGACCTGAGCCAAAGGCAGCTGCTTACTGACTGACCCACCCAGGCGCCCCTGGCCTTGTATTTTTAAAAAATCATCTATGAATCCCTATCTCTCGTGTTAATGGTCCTCCAATTCGAAGATTGAAAATGACCTCAAGGGTTTATCTCATTTAGCAACTTAGGATCTTTAGATGGTCGCATAAGCCCCCCTAACATGTACAAACTATCCGAAAGCCACTCCTTCAATATGCTTCAAAGCACATATACGCCCCAGTTTTGTCTGATGATGGCAATGCTTTGTCTAAAGGTTGGAAAGGGGAAAAGGAAATCACTCCTGCCGTTCACGGTCAGCCTCAGGATTATAAACTTCAAAAGGTTGGCCAGGAAATCTCCCATCATTGATTACAAGGGATAATCCGTGTTTATCACGGGTGGACAGCCATGAACACCGTCAAATGGCTGGAATATAAAGGAGCAGGCCTTAGGCAGAGGTCTCCCTTCGTGGTCTCCATCTGGTCTCCTCAGGGGCAAAATGGAGGGTAATATTAGGTTGAACCACATGACCTAAAAAAGCAACAATTTCACGTGATTCAACTTAACAATAATAATAAAAGCTGACAATTATTGAACGTTAACGTGGTGCCAGATGCATTACAAACATCATCTCCTTGAATACACGCACCATTCACACAAAGTAGGTCCTACCCCAGCATTTTACAAACAAGGAACTGGAAGCTCAGAGAGGTTAAGTGACTTGCTCAGGGTCACACACCTCCGAAAGGCAAAGAGGCAAATGTTCAAACCCAGTTCTGTCTAATTCCACTGCCTCCTAAAGCTACTTTCAAGTCTAAATGTCTGTATCTACACTGTGGAATGAGCCCCATTTCTAGGCTAAACTACCACCATGTCTACCTGATCGATCCTCGGGTGTGCTTGGCTGCCTAATGAATGTGGACCTGTTAGGAAAAAAAGGTGACCTCTCCTCAGTTTCAATGAGACACTTAGGCGAAGGACTTCAAGGTCTTTCCCAGAATTTCTCAAGGCTGAACTAGGAAAGTGGCCACCAAGAATCCAAATGCCTACGGCCCCTCCTTAGGAACAAGAGGAAGCCAACAGTGTGAAAAGGGGAACTCAACTCCTGAAAGCATTACAGGCTTCTTTTTGCATCGACAGCATCTCTTTTTTTGTTTGTTTGCTTTTATTTAATTGAAGTATAGTTGACCTACAATGTGATATTAGTTTCCGGTGCACAACATAGTGATTTGACATTTATATACCCTACCCGGTGATCCCCGTGATAAGTCTAGTTACCAACTGCCACCACACAAAGTTATTACAATATTATTGGCTATATTCTCTATGCTGTACTTTTCATCTCCATGTCTTATTTATTTTATAACTGAAAGTTTGAATGACTTAATTCCCTTCACCTACTTCACCCATCCTCCATCCCCTGCAACCATCAGTTTGTTCTCTGTATCTGTGAATCTGTTTCAGTTTGGTTTTGTTTGTTCCTTTTGTTTTTTAGATTCCACATGAGAGAAATCATATGGTATTTGTCTTTGGTTCCATCCATGTTGTCACAAATGGCCACATTTCATTCTTTTTTATGGCTGAGTAATATTATATACATATAATATGTGTGTGGTTTGCCTCCCTCTCTGTTTTCTTATTTTATTTTTCTTTCAGTTCCCCTGTGTTCATCTGTTTTGTTTCTTAAATTCCACATGAGAGAAATCATATGGTATTTGTCTTTCTCTGACTGACTTATTTCACTTAGTATAATACCCTCTAGCTCCATCCATGTCGTTGCAAATGGCAAGATTTCATTCTTTTTGATGGCTGCGTAATATTCCATTGTATATATATTCCACACCTTCTTTCTCCATTCATCTGTC